TCTGCCATCCACACGTGTGTTTAAAAGACAGACTGACTGTGACTCCTGCTGCAGTATCATCATGTGTAAAATCAGACACATGATCCATGATGATACAGAAAACAGAAACTAATGGCAACAGCAGCATGTGGTGTCTTATTAAGAGGAGCCGAGCTCCTCTGTAGTTCACACCCTGCTTGGACCACAGGTAGCTGGTAAAATACATTTCCATAGTTTGTAAGAGGCTTTGCTCAAATTAACCAAAAAGACATCAGTAATGTTGGTTGGCACTAGCAACCTGCTGGTAACTAGTTAATAATGCTTAGGCCTGTGTTAATAAAAAATTATATACTAACGCCTGAAGTCCCATTAAAATGACCACCTGTTTGAATATAAATAGGGACATGACTTCATATACAGTCCAGGGCGGCCCACCAGAGTCTGATCTGTTTCATCATGAAGCAAAAACTTCTCATAACAACATAAAAGGTCTCCAACATTGTTTTGGCAAAGTATCTGTCAAACAAACTAAAATAGAAAACGTAATACGGCTTTGTTCCCTTATGAAATCACAAAAGACTGCAATTTAATTAAATCAGTAAATAAGTTATTTGAGGAGGTTAAAAAGTAACTAAGTAACTTTTACTCTGAGTACATTTTAAATGAGCTTCTTTATTTGTCCTTCAAAGAAAACGTACTTTTACTTCAGTAGAATATTTTGGTCTCTTTCCACTTCTGGTTTCTTTATTTGGGATTCGTAGAACAGGATTTGTGCAGCTGCAGTGAAGAACTTGAGAAGAGCAGCTGTTGTGTTTGTGGAGAGAGAAAAACTTTTGTTTCTCTGTGACTTCAGTATCACTGAAACACATGTGGGACTAATTTCTACATCTACAGGTTCCACTGTCACAGGTGTTCAGCTGTTCTGCTCCAATCACACCTTCATATGCTGGAGGTGTAGCAGTAGTGACATACCTGACATGAAATACTGCCGGAAATGTACCAGAAGACCCCCAGCAACAAGACCAACAACCAGGAGAACCAGGAGAACCAGGAGAACTTTGGCCCAGGATGGAAATCGTTCTGTGGGAACCAGAAACATAAAGAACATGACCTCTGACCTCTGACCTGTATCTACAGCAGCTGTTAGGGTTTGTTGCTGACCTTTGACCTGCAGCTGTATCTCTGTCACTCTGTCTTGATCTCCAACACTCTGACGGTGCAGGTGTAGCTGCCGCTGTCAGAGAGCTGGAGTTTTGTCAGCTTGAGGCTGAGGTCTCCAGTTTCCAGAGCGTCAGTCATCATGGATGTTCGGCCGCTGTAAAGCTGGTTTTGGTCTTTAAGTTCATCACCTTCCTGCTGACGCTGGTGGACGGTTGGAGGATCGAGATCGTAGCGGCTCCACACCACTGTGGGGTCGTCCATCAAAGGTGTGATAATCACAGGGCAGCAGGACAAACTCCTCCCCCTCATACAGCTCCACAGCTGAGGCATGCTGGGAAACTGTGAGGTCACACAGACAGAGAGGTTCAATCACAGCAGCCTTATTTCATGTCTTATTCCTCCTGGATCCTCAGGTGACCCAGAAACCAACCTGGTCCTGTCTGTGATTGGACGCTGCAGCTGATCAGCTGCTGTGAAACCACATCAGCACAGTTTAAAACCAACAGCAGCTGACAAATAACAGAAGCACCTCAGCTGTCATGTTGCTCTCACTGTTTAGATGGACTCTGTTTTCTGACTCAACATGGTGTTAAAATGAGTGTGTTCACTCTCTGAACTCCTTTCCTCACATCTCTTCCTTCCATCTCTCTATCACGTCTTCAGAGGGAGTCCATAATACTCAGGGAAAAGACAGGACTGATGGACACGTGGAGACACTTCATACAGATGAGACAGACGATCCACATGTGATGCTGCTGTCAGCAGAGGATCAGTGTTACTGTTGGTGATATAACCTAGAAGACTGTGAGCAACCTACAGGGATATAATCCTGAAGACCTGAGGACAGTCTGACTGGACCGTCTTCTACATTCATGAGGATTTAAAGAAACATTAAAACATGCTGCCTTTAATATGTTGCTCATGTTATTTGAAGAAAACATCGTCATGGAGCTGAAACAGACTGATGAAGATGAAAGAAACCCAGATTAAAGACGTGACGTTGGACTGAGGTGATGATCAGATCAGAGGGAGGAAGGTTATCTTACCGTGCACGAGGATCACAAACACCACAAACATCTTCATCTTCCTGTAGAAACTCCAACAAGCACAAAGTTAATCTGCTTCTCACTAAAGGAAGTCTTCAGAAACCAGTGAGGACATCAGTTCACAGCCAGCTGTCCCTTTCCTCCTCCTGATAATCTGCTGACTCTGTGAGGAGAAAACTGGAGTTTCACTTTAAACTGTTTCCACTGAAGCAGCTGTTGGAATGTGAAGAAACAGGCTGAGCAGCTTTCACACAAACATTATTGTGACAGACAGGTGTGGCTGCTGAGCTAACTGCTAACACACCTGCTAGCAGCTAGCATGCTGCTGTTAGGCCCCTCCTCCTCACCCACCACCTGGACACCTCTGTCCGTCCTGGAGGGGACGTTCACAGACTGTTCAGGAGACAGAAGGCAGCTGGGCCAGACTCTGTCTCTCCGTCCACTGATGATGGTTTTTCACTTTAATCCTCATGGATGAAGTGATTGTGATCAGCTGTTGTGAAGTGAAACTGTGAGTTTGTCAGCTCAGAGTTCAGGTTCAGACTTTGTTAAAGCAGCTCTCTGGAATGAGTCCAGATCACCACAGATCTCTTCTGAGGAAAGAGGAGGAGCTTCAGCTTCCTCATGTTTGTCAGAGCTGTTGGTCCAGTTTCTGTCTCAGACTGACAGACAGAAAGCTGAACCTTCAGTCCTGTTGATTATCTGCACAAGAACTAAACTTCTTTATCAATCTCTAAATGACTGAAGCCGTCAGGAAACACAAGCTTTTTCTGTTCAAGAAAACATTTTAATGTCAGAGACACAAACAGTTGACAGAGATTTATGCCATTTGTGAGGGACCAAGCTGTCAGGCATGAGGAGTCAGAAAGAAAAATTCTTGCGCCATAAAAGAGGTCAACTAAACAGAACTTAACTCAGGTAACATAACCTTAAAATAAGCTGAACTAAACACCTAACAAGACTGAGACTTATATAGTGGCTGATCAGGCCATTCTGACAAAAAGGGGGTAGACAAAAAAATGAAGGGAACACTTAAACAACACAATGTAACTCCAAGTCAGTCACACTCCTGTGAAATCAAACTGTCCACTTAGGAAGCAACACTGATTGACAATCAATTTCACATGCTGTTGTGCAAATGGAAAAGACAACAGGTGGAAATTATAAGCAATTAGCAAGACCCCCCCAATAAAGGAGTGGTTCTGCAGGTGGAGACCACAGACCACTTCTCAGTTCCTGTGCTTCCTGCCTGATGTTTTGGTCACTTTTGAATGCTGGCGGTGCTTTCACTCTAGTGGTAGCATGAGACGGAGTCTACAACCCACACAAGTGGCTCAGGTAGTGCAGCTCATCCAGGATGGCACATCAATGCGAGCTGTGGCAAGAAGGTTTGCTGAGTCTGTCAGCGTAGTGTCCAGAGCACGGAGGCGCTACCAGGAGACAGGCCAGTACATCAGAGACGTGGAGGAGGCCGTAGGAGGGCAACAACCCAGCAGCAGGACCGCTACCTCCGCCTTTGTGCAAGGACGGCAGGAGGAGCACTGCCAGAGCCCTGCAAAATGACCTCCACAGGCCACAAATGTGCATGTGTCTGCTCAAACAGTCAGAAACAGACTCCATGAGGGTGGTATGAGGGACCGATGTCCACAGGTGGGGGTTGTGCTTACAGCCCAACACCGTGCAGGACATTTGTCATTTGCCAGAGAACACCAAGATTGGCAAATTCGCCACTGGCGCCCTGTGCTCTTCACAGATGAAAGCAGGTTCACACTGAGCACATGTGACAGACGTGACAGAGTCTGGAGACGCCGTGGAGAACGTTCTGCTGCCTGCAACATCCTCCAGCATGACCGGTTTGGCGGTGGGTCAGTAATGGTGCGGGGTGGCATTTCTTTGGGGGGCCGCACAGCCCTCCATGTGCTCGCCAGAGGTAGCCTGACTGCCATTAGGTACCGAGATGAGATCCTCAGACCCCTTGTGAGACCATATGCTGGTGCGGTTGGCCCTGGGTTCCTCCTAATGCAAGACAATGCTAGACCTCATGTGGCTGGAGTGTGTCAGCAGTTCCTGCAAGAGGAAGGCATTGATGCTATGGACCGGCCCGCCTTCCCCAGACCTGAATCCAACTGAGCACATCTGGGACATCATGTCTCGCTCCATCCACCAACGCCACGTTGCACCACAGACTGTCCAGTTGGCGGATGCTTTAGTCCAGGTCTGGGAGGAGATCCCTCAGGAGACCATCCGCCACCTCACAGGAGCCCAGGCGTTGTAGGGAGGTCATACAGGCACGTGGAGGCCACACACACTACTGAGCCTCATTTTGACTTGTTTTAAGGACATTACATCAAGTTGGATCGGCCTGTAGTGTTTTCCACTTTGATTTTGAGTGTGACTCCAAATCCTGACCTCCATGGGTTAATAAATTTGATTTCCATTGAAATTTTGTTGTCAGCACATTTAACTATGTAAAGAAAGGAGTATTTAATGAGATTATTTAATTCTTTCAGATCTAGGATGCGTTATTTTAGTGTTCCCTTTATTTTTTTGAGCAGTGTATATTAACAAACCACAATAACTACAAAAATGTTAAGCCAATGCTATATATAAACGAAGGGTAAATCAATCAAATAATCATAACAACAAAGTATAACTAGCAAAGAAAAGAACACATCTCAAAAGTGGAACACTCTGATATGGGAAAACATGGCGCAGTCCAATTATCCATTCCCCTACTTCAACAACTTACAGAAAGTTGGAAATCCTTTTGTCTGTCAGCCAGCCAGAGACCGCCAGTAGCAACTCCCCAGGAAGTGGTAACTTAGAAAGGTATTAATTTCACAGAACACAACTTAAAGATAATGCACCTGAACCTGAAATTAACTAAATTGACAAAGTTAACTAAATGTGTGCACCCAAATAGAAAACTAAGTCAAATAAATTATAAAACTGTTTTTAAAACTAAAGTGTGTCAAGTTATTTATTTTGTATAATATGTAATGTGCTCAAAACAAAAGAAAGAGTTACCACCGTGAGTTGTTGTTTCCATGTGTGGCTGCTAATGCGGCTATCACACCTTAAACACTGAAGTCAGTCCAACTTTTTATCAGTATAATAATGAAACAATAAAGAAATAAAAAGGATTTAAACTGCATTTCTTCTTCCTCATGATGTCACTTCAAATCAGATCACATGAAACTGCATTAATTAGAATAATTTCACAATAATCAATATTAACAGATGACATGAAACACACTTCTGCCAGTTCCTCTTGTCCATCAGAGCAGAGACGTGGTTTTGTTGTGGATCAGGTCTTTCTTTAACAGGAGAAGGTTAGTATCTACTAGTGATGGGCAAAGCGAGGCTTTGTGAAACATTGAAATGTTAGAAGCACTTCGACACCCGTCTCCATGGTGACACCTACTGGTCACTTTTGATACTGCATATCTTGGTAGGGGTTTCATTGAAACAATGACTGACCTGCGTTTACAATTCTAAACGTCTTATCAATACATGACCGACAGGACTTCGGAGTAATCACCATACAATAAACAAATGTCTTCAGATTGTCAGAGACAGCAGATGGGGATTGTAATAAAAGTGTGTTTAAATAAAACACATCTGTGTGTTGTTTCATAAGTAATCACTCATTTAGCCGACGCTTTTCTCAAAAGGGAATCACAATTGCTGTGTCAGAGGGCACACCTTGGGGATAAGTGTCTTGCTCAGGGTCACATGTATCACAGTGGGAATAGAACCCACATCTCTAACACTAAAGGCATATGTCTTAACACTACCCTATCCATTTTCACAGTCGAATACTTTATTGATCTACGAGAGTGAATTCTTTGTTGCAGATACTCGCAAGGCATAAAAGGAATAGAAATAATAGGTAGGCCTAGTTGAAGTTAGTGAGCAGAGAATATTATAAAGTAGACCTATACAAACCATTGAATGTAGTAATAAATGTGGATATCTGCAGTATGATACAGTAGCTTATTAAGAGAGGTAATTAGCAGGAAAGATATAGGCCCTAGTGTAATAATAATTTATAATGAGTGCTGGCAGTGTGTCACGTTCTGTGAGCCGGGATGTGACAACAGGAACACTAACAACATGCTGCTCACTGATCCCTGATCACTGATAGGACAGATCAGGATGAACAGGAGTAATTACCTGTCCTTACCTGGTGACAGTAATGTGTCCAATCCAAGGACAGCCTGAAGAAGGCCATGATGCCAGAGTCTGCAGTCTCTGCTGAGCACTATTATGTTACCATCAAAGGTTGGACTTCCTGTTCACACTACAACATGTTCTCTTACTAAACATATCCTAAAGACGTGCAGCTGATGACATGTAATGACTCCTGTCCCCAAAGGGAAAGTGAGGGGCCCTCAGGGGACTTTTCTCACTGTGTGTTTGTGTCACATTAAAACCATTTGTCCTGATCTAAAGGCTCTAAAGGTTTAAAAGTGTTACCGTTTCCAGATGCAGTGAACACCGTGAGTTTGGAGGCGTTTGAAGTTTCAGTAGTGACGCTGACTTTGAAAGCTCTGAGAAGCTCTAGTGGTGCCAGGCGGTGTCAGCGGTCTGGCCGGTGTCCACATGGCAGCAGGAGACAACTGGAGCAGCACATCCAGCTGTTGTAGCAGGAGGAAGCATGAGCTCATCACTGAAACTCAGTTCAAATGAGGGAAAAACTGAAATGTTTCTTGTGACGCCTGTTTGGGATGTTGTTTAAATAATAAACCTGTGTAGTGAAATCTTCCAGTAGTGATCAGGTTACCATGGTGATGCACGTTGCACGTTGAACAGCAGCACTAAAGAAAGCAGTGATGAAAGCTGTTATTGTCTAAATACATTTGAAAAGCAAATGAACACCGTGGAACAGAATATTGCAGGATGTGTGTCTTTAAATGTGGACCCAGGAAGAGCAGCTGCGCTTTAGGGCCGAGGTTCTCAACCCATCCTGCTTCAAGGGCCACCTGTTCTTACCTGAGAGGGCCCGGGGCCCATTAAAACAGAAGTCCCAGCTGACTGTGTCTGATCTATTCTAAGTGTAGTAATGAAGCAGGACAGAGCCGCTCCCTGGTGTTCAGGCAGGA